TTGATTGATGCTACTTTTCGATTTTAACTTCTTTTATTACGTTGGTGCACATTTTTTCAACAGCTGAGATTGACACTTGTGGAATCGGCCCTACATTTTACCGACACTTGTGGAATCGGCCCTACATTTTAATGACACTTGTGGAATCGGCCCTACATTTTACTGACACTTGTGGAATCGGCCCTACATTTTACCGACACTTGTAGAATCGGCCCTACATTTTACCGACACTTGTGGAATCGGCCCTACATTTTACCGACACTTGTGGAATCGGCCCTACATTTTAATGACACTTGTAGAATCGGCCCTACATTTTACCGACACTTGTGGAATCGGCCCTACATTTTAATGACACTTGTGGAATCGGCCCTACATTTTAATGACACTTGTAGAATCGGCCCTACATTTTACCGACACTTGTAGAATCGGCCCTACATTTTACCGACACTTGTGGAATCGGCCCTACATTTTACCGACACTTGTGGAATCGGCCCTACATTTTACTGACACTTGTAAAACCGACCCTATATTTTACTGACACTTGTGGAATCGGCCCTACATTTTTTTGTATTTAATGTATTGTATATGTATTTTTTAATTGTATTTAATAAATTTTGCCTGATCACGAATTTTTATATACAATAGTCAAGAAGAAGGAATTTGCGCTATTAATCGAATATTGAATAGTAAAAAAATTCATAATTATTATATGACGTGATGAATAATCAAGATGTTGGCATAATTTTTTTATATAAGTTAAAGCTTGAAAAAATTGCGGTAAAAACTGGTGAAAATATAAATTTAACATTGGAGGAAGGTTGTGTGAATGTTATGACACTTCGACGTTGGTGTGCAAACTTCAAAATTCGTGACTTTCTATTGGAAAATGAGCCAAGAGGAAGGCTAGGAAAAATTATACGAAATTTTGTCAAATCCTCCCCCATTCGCTAAACTTCTCCTCAACAGACTACCACTTCTTCAAACACCTGAACAATTTTCTAACAAATAAATTACTCCGAAATGAAGACCGTAAAGATAACATTCAAAGAATTTTGGAATAACGAAGCTACTTAATTGTTGCAAAAAGTGTACGAAATCGTGTGGAAATTATTTTGATTAAGCACATGTACCTAAAATTTCATTAAAAAAAAAAACCACATTTCGTATACACAATACCTAAATACCTGCAAAATCGTTTATTTCTTTACGGCACAATGTTACTCATTACGAAACTCTTCTTTCTTTCATTAATCGCAACAATCTTTTTCAACTGCATTTCACCGACATCACCATATTTCCACAAATCATGCGCAACCTGAGCGATTGCGACATAAAAAAGAAGCATAAAAGGAAGAAAAAACGAAGTTGCATCTGCCTCCTCATTTGCAATCCGTGGCATTTACCTGTCAGCGGTATCTGAACCTTGCACTACAGGACTGTTTGATCTTCGCTTTAATATCGCATGATTATCATCCATTCCGATGACTAATTGCGCGAGGTCAAACTCGAAGATTATGCAGCACGACATGTCCCCTTTATCGAAGAAGAATGCGAAAGAAACGAAAAAAAAATTCGAATCCGCATCGATCGGTTATCGATCGATGGTGAAAGCCTTGTTTGACCGTAGATATTCGGTGCAATGATAAAGTCTCGCGGTTGTGCAAGAAGTTTCACGTATAAATCGGTTCACGCGGCTCGTGAACGGATAAGAAGCGAGAGAAAGAATAGAAAGTGAACCCCGTAGTTCAGCGTGAGTTCGGTTGCGCCATGTTTCTCTGAAAGTTCTCTCCTGCGCGCAACTGCTAAACTTGGAAGCGGATATATGTATACAAACGGCAATTATTAGAAGAACATTCGATAACTCGTGGCGTAGAAAAGCTCGTTTAATCTGTTCTTACGCGACTTTGGTAAAAGACGCAAAACGATCTAGAAACACCAACGCTGCTATCTCTCGCTTGATCGATCGGATCTTTTCGCCGATTTTTAACCGAGTTCCGTGCGTTGATTGATCAAGAATTCATAATTTTATCGATCAGCTTCACTGGGTACAGTTGTGATCAAGTTGGTCGATTCAGAAACAATTTTTAGTGATATTCTGTGATTGTTTAACCCCTTAACCTATGATTTCTTTTCTGACTAGGCACCTAAACGTCAGCCATTTACCCAAAGTGATCGAAGTAAAAGATTGAAAAAAAAATTGAAATTTATATTGCGTCGAAAATATTTATATTGCAAGAGCAAGTATTTTACAAAATGTTTCATTACACAATGAAAAAATATTTTTAAAAACGCCCAAAGGGAAAATTCTAAATATCTCGAAACAAGAGATATATGACTTAGGCCACTTTCATAACCACCCCGGCACAATTAATCTGAAAAATGTGGCGAAGATTGTTGCTTATTACATCGAAAACTATCAACAAGATTGCCAATTAAAAGTGTTGATTTATCACAACGTAGCAATCCAATAAATTGTGGATAATGGTCTCAAGCACGAATTCCATTCGCGGTCTTTCTCAATTGCTTCTGTTGCCACACAGGTGTGGCTAC